AAAAACACTAGAGATAGGGATAGGAGAACTATTTGTGAGAAACTAGGTATCCAATCGACACTTGACTTAGGTAGATATCTAGGGGTGCGTGTTATTCATGGCAGGATCACTAGAAACACCCATAGGTATCTCATTGACAAAATTGATGGGAGATTGACCTCTTGAAAGGCACAGACACTCTCCCTCACTGGGAGAATTACCCTTTCCCTTTCTTTCCTAAAAGGGTGGTTTTACGCTAGGTTTCTCGTGTTTTAGCGTGTTTCGGGATTTAACAGGTGAGACCAGGCCCGGAGTCGGAAGTTGGACAAAAAGGAGCGAAAACCGGGAGAAGAGGTGAAAAGAGTTCACGGTTTTCCTTGGATGTTCACGGTATTGTATGACGGTAAAGAAGAGTCATTGGCCATGAACTTTGAGGTTTCCACGGCCAAAACTCAAGTTATTGACGCTAATTGCGTTCACGGACACTAAAACCGTGGACAGGAGCTGTCGACAGTGAACACGTGCAAGCGAAGCGGTGCGTTTTGGCACCAGCCTTGAGTTCACGGACACTTTTCAGACTTCACGACTGTGAACTGAGCTCGTTCCCTGTTTAAAAGATGAGCTGAAAGGAAGAGATGGGGGAGAGCCCATTTGAGAGAGAAAGCCTTCTTCATATTTTAGAAAGAGAAAGACGAACCAAAGGAGAACGAGGCTAGGGTTTTGCTCCAAGAGTGGATTTGGGAAGATTCTCCCCAAGAGAAGTTCATCACAAGTGCCAAGAAGATCAGAAGCCTCCTTCATGATGGTTTCTACCTCTTCCCCTTGTGTTTCTCCCATTTCTAGCATGGAGTAGATATCTTTTTCACTTGGGTGTTGTGAAACCCTAACTAGCTACCATGTAGTTTTCTTTATGTGAATTGAATGATTGTCTATGGGTGTTTTTTAATTCAGTGATTGAGGTATTATTCGTGTTGATTGTGCATGTTTGTGCTTAGCAACCTAAGGACTGTGCATATGTGTGCTTAGCAATCTATAGGTTGTGTATGTTTGTGCTTAGCAATCTAAGGGTTGTGCATGTTGGTGCTTAGCAATCTAATTAGCCACTTAACCTAGATTAGAGAGGAAAACCCCCCTTCCAAGGGAGACTCAATTGAGTTGGTATTGCTAGGGCTATTTAAGTCTCCTAACTATGTTAATTTATGGAAAACCTCAATATTGGATTAATAAATTTGGTTAAGCGCGATTAAGCCGTCCAACCTTTGGGTTGAGTGAGGGAGTAAGTCAACCATTAATTGCCTAAACCGAGAGGGCCTAGTGAGAGCCTATAATGCATGCCTTGGTTTAGCAATCATGAGTGTGGTCTACGACCATATTTGCGTCCCCTAGCGGTTAGCGATCACCTTGCCCATAGCAATCAATTCGGTTCACATACCATGGTAGTAGTTAGGGGGAAGCGACATCCGAGTGATCCTTCTCACAAAAGAGATTTCAAAACCATTCACTTTTGTCTTGATTTTTTTTAATTAGGAAACTTTTCAACCAAAACCTTGTTTCTAGATAATGATTCGAATGACTGAAGTAGGGGTAGACGGACCGGCCCGGGTCGATATTTAAACATACTTATCCTATACTGCACCCGACTAAGGTTTATACTTGGACCTTAGGCGGGAAATTATTGTGGTATTCGGGACGAGTCAAGTTTTTGGCGCCATTGCCGGGGAAGAATGGTCTGTTGTCTTGAAAAAGTTGTTTGGTGTTAATCTAGCTTTTAATTTCCAGTTTTGAAAGTATGTGTGCTTTGCTTGTGCTAGACTTGGTGTGTTTTCCGATTGTGTGTAGGTGGTGCATAACCCGGAGTAACCCAGCACCTTTGCTACCACTTGATGAGGACATAAACCAAACTCTCCGGATCCTAGCAAGGGAGAGAGAGCTAGCGGAGGCAAGGAGAAGGAGTGGAGGAAGGGGACAACAATTGGGTCCCGGTGTTAGTGGAGAAAGAGTTGAAGAGGTGGAAGTTGAACCCATTGTTGGAGTAAAAATGGCGGGGAACCAAAGACAAGATAGATCCTCCCAAGCTCGTCAACTAAACGATGCAGCGAGGAAGAGGAAGCCCCGGTGATGATGAGGTACTATATGGCCCCACGGCCGGCGAACATTCAATCGCCAATCCTACATCCTCCAGTGGCGACAAAAAATTTCGAGATCAAACCGGCTATAGTGACTATGATACAGAGCAATGCTTTGTTCCACGGCCTTGAGAGCGAGTCAACAAGAGAGCATGTGCAGAGAATCCTGGAGCTCGCGGGGATCTTGAAAATAAATGGTGTGCCGGCCAAAGCTTTGCAACTAAGGCTTTTCCCCTATTCACTTTTGGAGAAAGCTCTTAGGTGGCAAAACAATCGCCCACCTCGGTCAATCACCTGATGGGACAACCTCCTCAAAAATTTTATGACTGGCTACTGCCTACCTTCGAAGACGGCGGAGTGGAGTAAGAAGATTACCCATTTCGAGCAAGAAGAGGACGAGACCTTGAGGGACTCTTGGGAGAGGGACTCCGATTATTTTCTTCTGTGTTCTCACCACGGGTTTGAATAACAGTTTCGGATTGAAACCTTCTACGGAGGCCTAATGCAAGAAGACAAAATTATCATTGACTCCTTGTGTCAAGGGAAATTGATGAATATAGCTCCGCCCCAAGTAACCGATATACTTGAAGACATGGCCCTCAAGGGGTAATACTGGGGATTGACTAGAAGTGGGAGGAGAAGCAATGATAGGGGAGTAAGAAGCGTGGGAGCGAGCGCTCCGCTTGAGGTGAAGTTGGATAAGTTGATAGAGGTAATGGTTGAAGATAAGAGGCAAGGAAAAAGGCCGGTGATGTCGTGCGACTAGTGTTCGAGCACTAGCCTTGAGATGGCAGAGTGTCAGGCAATGAAGGAGGCAACCGCTCCGGAGAAACAAGTCAACTTCATGGCAAATGCTAGGACTAACAATCCATATAGCAATACTTATAATCCCGGATGGAGGAACCACCCAAATTCTGCTTGGTCATCACCGACTAATCCAAGGCCCCCGGGTTTTCAAGGCCCTATGAGAAATTACCAACCTCGGCCGACCTTTATCCAAAAAAGGCCTCAAGTCCAAGGCTTAAGCTTCCAACAACCATACCATGCACACGGTGGCCTAGGGTTTCAACAACAACAACCTGACAAGCTATCTAAGCTTGAATACCTAGTGAGCACCTTCGTGAGTAAGAGTGCTCAAAAGTTTGAGAAGATAGAGCAATTTATGGATGTGGCGACTACCAAGTTTACCTTGGTTGAGGCGGGTCTCCGAAGCTATCAAGCGAGCCTCCAAAGTTTGGAGGTGCAAATCGGTAATCTTGCCGGCATCCTCCCTGAGAGACCAAAGGGAGCCCTACCTTCCCAAACTGTGGTGAACCCCAAGTATCATGTTGGGGTGAATGCAATTCAAATGGGGAGTGTGAAGGTGACTTCGGATGTAGCCACTAAAGAAGTGATTGAGAAGGAAGATACCAACCCAAAGGATGGAGAGAAGAAGCGCTCGAGGAAAGAGAGGGAGGCGGCAAATAAGGCATCACCGGTGAGTGGGTACACGCCGCCTCTTCCTTACCCCACGAGGATGTACAAAGAGAGGTTGGAGAACGAGTGTGGAGGTTTCATGGAAATGCTCCACAACCTCCACCTCAATATCCCTTTCCTTGAAGCCATGGCTCAAATGCCAAGATATGCCAAGTACCTCAAAGGATTCCTCGCCAAGAAGCCTAAGCTTGAAGGCCTCCCCAACGTGACTCTTGGCGAGGAGTGTTCGGCTTACCTCCTCAACAGAGCGGTTCGACCCAGGTAGCTTTACTATCCCTCTTGATATTGGTAACCATCACCTTAGCCGACCTTGGCGGACCTATGAGCTATTGTTAATCTGATGACCTACAAGCTTTTCAAAAGTTAGAAGTAGGTGAACTTAAGACCACTAACCTTACCATCACCTTAGCCGACCGTTCGGTCATTAGCTCGAGAGGTATTGTGGAGGACATGTTGGTGCTAGTGGGCAAGTTTTGCTATCCGACTGATTTCGTGATCCTCGACATAAGTGAGGACTCAGATATGCCACTCATTCTTGGCCTTCCTTTCCTCGCCACCTCCAAGACATTGATAGACATTAATGAGGGGACCTTAATTCTGAGGGATGGTAAGGAGATAATCAAGCTTGAAATTGACCCTAAGGGTAGGAGTGAGGAAGTGAAGAAAGTGGTTTCAAATTATGTGAATGTGAGTGGAGGAGAGCCTCTAAAGGCAAACCCCACTATTACTTGTGTTGCATTTGGTGATGTTGAGCAAGAAGTCAAGTAGGGTTCTATGCCCAAGGAGAAGAGGATGAATGCTTGGAGGCAAAGGATGAAGGAAGCTTTAGCCCGAAAGAGGGAGAAGGCCAATGCAAAGTTGGCCAACCAAGAGGGCCAACTCATGGAGCTTAAGATGGGAGGCTACAAGCCTCGCCCCGAGAGTGTGGTGGATCCCATCTCGGTGGCATCACGATCCAAGTCGTGATCGATCGCTAACCGTCAAGCTAATGACGATAAATTAGCGCTTGTTGGGAGGCAACCCAACGGAGGTTTGTTTTCTTTTCCTTCTTTTTGTTTTGTGTCAAGTGAAGAGTTGAAGTGGTCAAGTGGTGTCCCCGAGCCAAGTTTTGTGGTTTTGCGATTTAAGGTTGTGTTGTGATCGATTAGGAGGCATAGTGAAATAGGTTGAGTCAAATTTTTCTCAGAAGTGTCCTGTTTTCACTGATGTTCACGGACGGATTGCTCAGTTCACAATCTCACAAGACCGTGAACAGGTAACGCGTCCATGAATTGGACGCTTCTGCATGTTCACCACCTGTCGACCAACCCCACTTCACGGACGCATTTGAGTGTTCACGGTCGCTAAGACCGTGAACAAGGCAACACGTCCGTGAACTCCTAGTTGTGCCTATAAAAGGGGCGTAAACGTCGACTCTTCACTTCACGACCAAATCTCGCTGGAAAATTCAAAACCTTGCGTGTTCATACCCATTCTCCCCTCATCAAAATCGACTTGGGCTGAAATTTTGTGGAGATTTGGGGTAATTTTTTCCGGTCAAAGACGTCGGCGGCGTGTCGCTGACGAGCTTCCGACGAAACTCCTACGACCCCACTCTGGTCTGTTTTTCGACCATTTTTTGCCTTCCTCGCCCGCACCTCACTTCCTACTTTTTCCCACTTGCGTCTCAAGGTTGGTTTTTCAGCTCTATCTATTAATTTGTGGAGAATCAGATTAGGTAGTGAAGTGAGGATGATTTTTGTGCATTGCATGTTGAACCTAGATGTAAGGCAAGGAATTAGGTGAATTAGTCGATTGAATGGTGGAATAATTTTGCATGAGCTTAGTTGAGCTTTGGTGGGCGTGTTTGAACCGAATTGTCTTTATTTTTAGAATTTTCCCATCAAGTGCTATGTTGTGAATGCATGTGAACCGTGAAATACCCACAACTATGCCACGGTGTGCTTAAGCTTAAATGTTTGATATCCATGGTGGAAAAATAAGTATGTGGGGATCACTTTTCCTCCCAATGAGAAATACTTGATAATTGTTTCCACGTATGGTGTATGTTTGTCAGTTTGTGCAGGATGGTTAACATGGACCACCATACCTTGTGGCGCTAAGGGGCCGACCCTGAAATGGAAAAAGAGGTGTGTTTTTGGGCATCTTCGAGAGCCGGTAACCATTGGAAACTCGACTTTGCCCAGTTCGACAGACTTCATTGCGGTGATGTTATGAGGGAGGCATGGTGCACCCACAATGGCGCCAAGTCCTTGATCTTGAAGATGACATTTACGGGGAGCTATGCGTCGCGTTTTTCAACACCTTCACCATCCGCAAGACCCAATGCCTACTTGGTCATCCAGTATGTCGGGTCGAGTTATGGTTGGGAGGGGAAGGATGCAATTTGAGCTATGACGAGTTAGCCATAGCCCTCGGAGTGGAAGCCAAACATGAGGATGATTGGGAGGAAGCCGCCATCCGAAGTTTCGACGTGAATGCCGCATTTTTTAAGTTTTGCCTTCCAAAGTACAGAAGGACAAAGTTTAAGTCGGCCCTCACAACGGCATCCACACTCCATCTCTAGTGGCATGTCATCATTGCATTCCTGGCTCGTTCCCTCTACCCGGCTTACCACAACCTGAACAAGATAACCGGGAGAATCTTATTGGCTTGTTCTTGCATGGTGGACCTATCTAGCACTCTGCACCTGGGTTCAGTTATACCACTTCTTTTGTAGGGACAATGGGGGAAACCGTCGCTATGTCACATAGATGGGTCCCTACATCACCCGCCTTGCTCGACACTTCAATGTCAGTCTTGCAGGGTGCTCGAAAGAAGGGCTCACCTAGAGATTTGACGAGGGCACTCTACACTCCATGCGCTTATTGCGCACCTTTGGACCAATGCGGTACATCGAGGGATTGAGTCCTGACCCCGAGGTCCCACCCCCAGCAGAGCAGCCCGCTGCTCGAGCACCCGGCCGCTGCCGGGGTCCAGCGCTCCAGCGCCCAACACAGCCACCACCACCAGCAGTAGGTGATCCCCTCGTCTAGAGGGTGGATCTCCTAGAGACAAACTTTGTGGGATTCTCTTCTCGCCTCGATCGGCAGACTAATCTCCTCAAAAATATCCTACCCCGGATTCGATTCCAACTTTCACTCACCAAGCCCAAGCGGTAACATCATTCTATTTCTTTCTTGCGCCATTGTGGGCAATGTCAAGTTTAAGTCTGTGTGGGGGGGGGGGGGTAGTTTACTATTATGCTTGTGTGAGTGTGATTGATGCTTGGAGCCTTATGTATGCCCAAATTTACTATTATGCTTGTGTGAGTGTGATTGATGCTTGGAGCCTTATGTATGCCCAAATTTCAAAATTTGAGGGCTCCAAGTAATGTTTGCATGATCAAAGTGACCGGTGTGTTGGAAAATCTCGTGTTGATCTTGAAGTGTTGCATGTGATCGAGTATATCCTATGATGATGACTGAGAAGTCCATTAAGATAGGGCAAAAGTTTAGTTCTCGTGTGTGCATAAATGAATGGATGTCTTGACTGATTACTTGTTGATTACAATTTCCATGCATTGTGTTTGTGAATTGGAATAGATGGTTTGGTGACTAGGTATCCTTGTGTGCTTTGAGCCGATCGTTTGCTTCTTGTGTGCTTAGATCCCTCTTACCATGACAAGTAACATCGCAGTTGTCACTAGTGAGTAGGACAGAGGCATAGAATTAGTCCACGCCCAAATGTTGATTGTCCCGAAATGTCTTATCCACTAGTCAACCCCTTTGAGCCTTGTGACTTCGAGGGTCGTTCTTAAGTTAGGAGCTTCGTGCTTGTGAGCCTAATGGTGTTGATAGAACGACCCCTAATCCTTTCTTCGTGTCTAAACATGATTCGTCCTTGTGTCTCGGAGCTCTCACTTTCGAGTTCCATTGAGGTTCTACATAGGAGATTTGTGTGCGGTCCTTGCTAGGAATGAAAAATGAAGTGTAGTGTTAGAGTGAGTTCTTCAAAAAGAGAGCATTGGTCATTAATTGCACAGGTGGCAAATGTTTTTACTCTCTAGTACCCCCCTCAAAAATAAATTAAAAATAAAGAAATGAAAAGAGGAACAAAAAAGAGGTAATAAAATGGGGTAAATAAAGTAGAGAGTGCCACGAAAAACCAAAGTGCATGCTCTAGGAGGGGTTTCTTGGCACTCAAGCCATTGAAACCCCCACATTGATTTAGAACTCCTTCACTACCAAACCTTAATGTGCTACCAAGAGTAGACAGAGGAAGAGTGCTTCAATGTAGTTCACGATGTGTGATAGTTTGGAAAGGAGAGATAAGGTTTTTGGCCGATGCTAGTGGCCTTTGGTTGAAGAGAAGGGTTTTAGTCCAAACCATTTTGATATTCCCGTTTTGCAACTTGCTTCTGTTAAAACTGTGAACCAGTTGAGAATAAACCAAACATCCTTTGGTTTATTCCCATTTGATACTCCCATTTTCGCAAATTTGCAACTGTAAAACAGGTGATCAATTTCTTCTTCCGCTTCAATGCACAAAACGCATCTACTTAGTAGCTTCCATCCACTCTTCTTCAAGTTTTCATGGGTCAGAATTTTCCTTAGGTAGGTCGCCTACATGAAAAAGCATATTTTTGAAGGTATCACTTGCTACCATATCGTCTTTGTCGGGAAGCTTTCGTCACTTGGAAATCTGTCAATGACCAGTTCTTCACATAAAGAAGTAACAGAAAAATAATTGATGGTCTTGGTCTCCACACAAGCCTCTTTGATCCTGCAATATAAGGATCAACATGCTAAGAAGGAAGAAAATTTACAAGGTTTATTCTCTCCCTCACGCATAAACAGAAGTGAATACATGAAAATTGCCACGTCAGCCACTGAAATGCATTAAGAGATTTCAAGAGAGACATTTCTGCTAATTTCCAACAGCAACTTAAAAGTTCAGACTGAAACTCGTAGGAAATTTACAAATTTAGCAAAATGTATGTTTAATTTCACAAAAAAGTCCGAATCACACCAAATGAGATTTTTATTTATTATTATGAATTATTTTTTCTCTTGGATAATATCTAATATTTTTTAAATAAAAAAAACAAAATTTTATGTCAAGATGCGTCACGACTATTACTCTGCAAATGGGAAATAAGAGGATTCAACAAAGTAAGAAAAAAAAACAAAGAACGAAACACGAAACATCGATATACGTGGTTTACTAACACAATGTGTGTTAGCTAATCCATAAGTAGGAGAGAGCCAATTTCACTATACTTCGAGGAGATACAGGGGAGAATCAGAAGTATTTATAGTACTTCTCCATGGTCTAGCCCTAATCCAATCTGGTAAAGAAAAGTAGTTACTATCAGGCCCAAAACAACAACCCAAACGTGTATCGGCCCATACACCATGGACCCCTATGATATCTAGTCATTAGTCAAATAGCCTGATTCAAGTCATGCCAACAAATCTCCACCTTGTCTTGAATCGTCTTCCTTTGAAATCTCTGATGTACTCTGATCCTTCTCTCCCTCTTGCCATCAATGACCCTTAGGGCGGATTCACACACTTAAGACATTCAACTAGTCAAAGGAGTGTTGAAACTTACCATGTGGAACTGACTTCATGAACATGTTAGCAAGATTGTCCATGGTGCCAAGCTTTTTCACCTTAATCCACTTCTCTGTCCTCAAGAAATGAAACCTCACATCGATGTGCTTCTCCATGGTGCCATCCCCTTCAACCATATTTCCTCCTTAGCAGCTTCTATCAACGCCATGTACTTTGATTTAGTAGTAGACAATGTTGCTTCGGTAGTAGACAATGTCACTGTCGACTGCAGAGTTTCCTTCTAGCTCACTACAAAACTCCCAAGAGTGAATACATAACCGGTCATCAATCTTCTCGTGTCAACATCTCCAACATAGTGAGAATCTGAATAACAAGCCACTAAGCACTCTGTATCACTTTCGAAGCTAATTCCCACATTAGACATACCCTTAAGGTATCGGAAGATCCTCTTCACACCCTGCCAATTTTCCTTCCCATGTTGTATCATGAACCTGCTAACAACACTAACAATGTGCTAGATTTGGTCTAGTGCATACCATATCATACATCAAACTACCTACTGCACTAGCATATGGGACTCTCGACATGTACTACTTCTCAGCCTCTGACTGTGGTGCATAAACTAAGGATAGATTTGGTCTAGTGCATACCATATCATACACAATGTGCTAGATTTGGTCTAGTGCATACCATATCATACATCAAACTACCTACTGCACTAGCATATGGGACTCTAGACATGTACTACTTCTCAGCCTCTGACTGTGGTGCGTAAACTGAGGATAGATGAACATTCGAGGCATTAGGCGTATTCAAGGGCTTTGTTGAAGACATGCCAAACCTGGACAGTATCTTCTGGATGTAGCTCTTCTGTGACAAGTAAAGCTTTTTCTTCTATCCATCCCTGTAAATCTCTATTCCCAAAATTTTCTGAGCAGCTCCCAAACCCTTCATCTCAAATTCAGCATTGAGAAGCCCCTTTGTCCTATGGATATCAGACTTTAACCTCGCAACTATGAACATATCATCCACATACAGAACCAAATATATCATTGAACCATCATCTGCCTTGCTGTGATATACACAACAATCATTAGGACTATAGTTGTAGTCTAACTCAAGCATGTACCTGTCAAACCTCTTGTACCACTATCTCGGAGATTGCTTAAGTCCATACAAGGACTTCTTTAACTTACAAACATAGTCTTATTTTCCTAGAACCTGGAATCCCTCTATTTGAGTCATGTAAATTTTTTCTTCCAACTCTCCATGTAGGAAAGCTATCTTCACGTCTATCTGCTCGATCTCCAAGTCATAATGTGCCACTATCGCTAGCAACACCCTGATTGAAGTGTGTCTAACCACTGGTGAGAAAATCTCATTATACTCAACCCCTTCTCTCTACGAGAAGCGTCTTGCAACTACTCGAGCTTTAAATTTAATGCCATCTTTAGAAACCATTCCTTCCTTATTCTTCAAAATCCACTTGTTTGTAACAATCTTCCTTCCCTATGGACATTTGAAAAACTCACAAGTCTGATTCCTGTCATGGGATTCCATCTCATCTCCCATTGCAGCAAGCCACTGAGCCGATTTCGCACACGAAAGAACTTCTCTGTAGGACTAGGGTTCACCAGCATTCATCTCTTTAGCCACTTGAAAAGCATTCGCCACCATGTACTCGAAGCCATACCTCTATGGAGGTACTCCTGCGGTCGCTCTATTCGATCTATCGAAACTTACTACGATGTAGTTTCTCAAACCCACAACGCTTGCAGAATTACAAATTCTTCACCTTGAGCCCACAAAGAAGATCCCTCTTTGAAAAAACTTTCATCCCTCATTCACTCATATGACCCAGTCTCAAGTTCAACAGAGTGGTGAGATGATGCAACTGCATCAGAACCTGACAGCATAGACCCTTGTAATACATACAAGGTCCCACGCTTCACTCCTTTCAGCACCTTCGTTGAACTTTTAGCACATTCCCAATACTTCCTCAAAGGCGTACCTTCTTGCATCCTCAAGCTGAACAAATGTTGTTTGAGATGCAGCTTGTTGGTTAAGGAGTTTGTCATATACATACTCTCCAGCTTCAACCATAAGCCTACGGTAGTCTTCTGAGCAGAGACTTCAATGATGACAGAAAATGATAACATGGTGGCCGAGTGGGCCTTCTCCACCAGGGTATTCCACTCATCTTCATCGACCATTGCCTTCTTCTGTTTCGCAGACACCGGCCCCCACAGCCCTTGTTGTTTTAATAGCGCCTGCATCTTGATCTACCATATACCAAAACTATTCTTCACCGTGAACTTTCCATCTTCATGTTTACCGACTTCATTCTTCAATCTCGAAACCCTAGCATGATTTTCAACCAGGCTCTGATACCACTTGTCACGACTGTTTCTCTATAGAATAGGAAATAGGAGGATTCGACAAAGCAAAAAAATGAAAATCAAGCATGAAACACAACACAGGAATTTACGTGGTTCACTAACACAATGTGTGTTAGCTAATCTACGGGCAGAAGAGGGCCAGTTTAACTATACTTCGAGGAGATACACATTACAGAGGAGTATGCGAATTATTTATAGTACTTCTCCATGGTTTAACCGCAATCCAATATGGTAAAGGAAAAACAGTTACAACCAGCCCAGAATAGCAACCAAAACGTGTATCGGGCCATACACCATGGACCTCCGTGTCATCCAGTCGTTAGCCAGATAGTTAGATTCAAGTCACATCAACAAGATGCACATAAAGATTAAATCTGTAGGATATCAATTGGTATCATCAATGTAAACCGTGGACTTGAAAAGGTAAAAACTAATGGACAAAAGAGCAGGGTTGAAGCTTTTATATATGGCGAAGGCTAGCGTACGTCAGGCATACGATGTACGCCTGTGTTCACACTTGGTTTTTGCACTTCAATATATTTTGCTGAATCAGAACCATCAGTTATTATCTTTTGGATTAAATGAATCTTGTGGCTTGGGTTAGAGAATTAGGGATTAGGGTTCACCCATTAGAGGTTAGGGTATAGTATCATGCCCCAAACTCCGATTAATTCGTGCTCTAAATAGTAAAACTCGACGGGCGTACAACGTACTGACGTACGCTAACCTGAATACATGAAAATTGGCAAGGCATCACCTGAACTTCAACCCAAGCTTATATAAAGCACGTTAGAGAGTAGTCCTAGGTTATTGATAAGATTTTGTGAAGTACTTTGCATAGGCTTGTAGGTTTGAATTCTGAAGGTGTTGATGGCTTCTTTGTCTTTTGGATGAGAGCTATGAGGGTTTGGTTTAGCCTTTATGGGAAATCTCTCAACTCTAGATAGCTTCATAATTCATGTGTAACCGCCATCCCAACAATGCTCCGATTCGTTTGAAAGAAATGATTTGGCTTACCATCAGCTCTTGGGGCCTTAGAAGGTCCCATGTGCTTTAGAGCTATCTAGATTTCCTCATTAGTGAAAGGTGAGAGTAAAGTTTCATTCATCTCTGGCGTTTACTTTAGAAGTAACAGTAGAGAAGATTCTACCCATTTTAGGTTTGTTTCCTGCCGTGAAAAGGGCCTTCATATATATTGTACAGTATAGTTGGTTACCTCTTGTTAGCCAATATAGATCATGTGTGAGTCATCCTTTAACATTCTTGTAGTATTTCTTCGTCTTCTTTCCAAAGTTTTTTTTGTGGAAATAACTTGTGTTTTGATCTACCTCATTAAGCCACTTTGCACGAGATCATTGTTTCCACTTTACTTCCTCTTGTAGAATAATTTCAGTTAGTTCTTTTTCGGGCATTTTCTTTTGTATAAGCACTGCCTTTGTTTTCCTTCTTTTTCCACAGCTTTTAAGGCTTTTTAAGCATTAATCATCCTTCTTTTAAAGATCCAAATGTTGTTTTACTCCAGCTCTTTAGTTGTCTCTTAGCTCTTAATTCTTTGCATTACTCCAACATTTTTTGTGTTCAAACCATCCTTCTTGTATTACGTGTCAACAATCTTCATGTCTTTTCCAATATGGCTTATATCGAAAGCTCCATCCCCATGTGATGTATTCTTCTTTAAGATCGAGTTAACTTGAATTGAAATATTATCCGAGCCGCATCTATCCAGATTGTACACTCCTATATGTGGGTAAAATTCCACCCAATCTTGGTTCTCCATTGCCCTATCAAGTCTTGCTTCAGTATAATCTTCCTCTACTCGGTTGTTTTCCCATGTAAATGTGCGACCATAGTATCCACAATATTCCAAACCACAACTATCTAAAGCTTGTATGAACATACACATTTCTTTTACATTTGGATCTCTAGTACCACTCTTCTCAAAATAAACGGTAATGAGATTTAAATATCCTATTATTAACCATGCCATTTGTACTTGTTGATGTAATCATTGCAATAAATCACGTTCTAAATTTATCCCTTACTTCAGGCCAACCATAAACTCCTGTTAGACGTCAATCCTTTCAAATGTTGAAATTCTAATTTTGACATCAATGAAGTTTAGAGTAAGATCCCTTACCTCCACTTGTATATCCTCTTTCCACTTTAATAGAAGCTCCTTGCACGATTCACTCCTGACGTCATTCCTTTTCCTTCGAAATAACATGTTTCCATTAAGAAAACAAAATCGCAACATGACATAGCTAAGTCTTTAGCTTTTCAACTCTCGAGGTATTCCCAAGTCCCGATAGTTATAAGTTAGTGAACTCATTAGGCTTGTCGCCTTGCTGTGTTGCAAAGTCCATCACCTCGCCATCCAGTGGCGGAGCCACTTGGAGAGGAGGGGTGCTTTGCACCCCCCTTGGGTTTGGAGAAAAAATTTCCGAGTAGGGGTATATACAAATTCGAACCAATGACCATTCAGTTGCAGGAAGAATTTCTTATCATTTCGATCGAGTGAGTTTTGTTATGTAATGCACTTTCGTCTTTATTTATAGTAATAAATTGTTGTCTTTTGTTTAAACTCGCTCTTTTTTTTTTTTTTGTAGCTCTACAACAGAGAAATTTCTTGTCTTTTGTTTAAACAAAGTTGAAAGTGAAGAAGTACCAATTGAAGTTCACTTGTTTGTTTCACAAAATCAATTCCAAGGTACTTCTGAGTTCTAATTTGTAATATTTAATGAATGGAAGTCTTGATTTGTATGTACTGAACTTATTTGTTTGACGTTGTAACCGATGTACGTGAAACTATTTTAATGTAATTGTGTGAATTTAGAGTATTGCGTTGTTGACTTTTTGTTTAATTTAAAGTTGACTTTTCTATTGTATAGGTGATTTTTTATGATATGATAAAGACACCCCCTTGGCCAATTTCCTGGCTCCGCCACTGTCGCCATCCAAAGTTTTTTGTGCAATCTCACTATCTCCAATGTTTTATGTCAAAGTCTTAATTAATCATTTGTTGTTGCTTCATATTATCCTCTATTCCAAATAGTTGCTGAGTTTTAATCTTCTTAGAGGCTAGAGGAGCAGTCTCTAAGCCATTGTACTTAACCCTAGTTCCTTCGATCACTTGGTCCTGATTTCCCAAGGTTCTTTTCTGATGTGTCAGTTGAGCTAACAATGCAAAGCCATAAATGCGATTGGCGGGGTGCTAGAAATTTGCGCATAGAGAATTCGAACTGGCGAGGGGCGCTAACGTCTTATCAACTACTATATTTTGCCAATTTAATACAAGATTTACATGTAACTTTACATGATTTTGATATTTGAGGGGGGTACAGCCTCCCCTTTCACTAAGGTAGCTCCACCACTGTAAGCTAATGTTGCATTATTCTGCTGACTAATCGGTCCTTTTTGTCAATACCACCCCCCTACATACCATTACTATGCGGGGGAGGGGGTTTTCAATTTTTCCCATCAAGAAAATCATACTCTCCTCTTGCATTCTTTATTTTGTCACTTCTATAGGTTGTTGTCCCAAGGTTTCTCCTTTGTTGCCCAAATCATTTCAATTTTTCTTCGCACTCCTTTATTTTCTCAAAGGATAGCTCACCCTAGCATTTGTCTGTTGATCGTTACATATTTCCACTGCTAAACTCTTAAAGGGTTTTCCTGAGGTTATTTTTTATTGGAAATGAGTATAGTCTTTGCTCTTGGTTCACATTTCTTCATATTTTAACTCCAGTTTGGATGAACCCTCATTGCTCTTCTTCCTCCACTTATCTTCAGGTTTTTTTGTTTTTTCCAAATTCATTTTTTTGTGAAAGTGTCTCTGTCAAATTTTGCTTGCAATGCCATCCAAATCTCATCAGTCTCTTCCCTTTCATGCCTTGACGGTCATGTTTGATTCTGTTGTGGTCCTACTCGCAGTTCCATTCCATAGCGATCTTTCTCTGCTCCCGATGGAGTAGGGCAAGTTATCTTATGAAGCTCAACCTGACACAAGAAATGCATAAAAGTGGAAGACTTTTCATATTTTACATCCTATTTTCAAAAAACATCCCTTGAACAATAAGCTCGAGCTCTTGTTTCAGGGGCGATATGACATCCTTCCCAGCACACAATCTCAAAAAATCATCCCATATACAATTTGCTCCACTATGCACCCAGAATAATGGACCAAAACGCTCCACAATCTTATGTGTCATCTCTGCATTTCGTAGTGTTTTGCTATGTTTTCGCTCTACTTTCAAATAATAATTCAACATACAATTTTCCATTGCGCACAACCTAATGAAAAGTAATTGAACAGTGGACACACCCTAAAGGATTCATGACTTGGATAAAAATAATTAGCTTTGATTATCGAGATGATGTTTCTGTTATATACAGAAGATTAAGGAAAAGACCACATCAACTATCAATGAGCGAGATGAAATGTAACTTGCTTGCATTATAACAGCAGCGGCAATTAATCTAAAATGATTCTTCTCAAGAGATCTTACTTACACAAAGAGCTTAAAAGATTTGAAGAAGGATATTAAGACCTTCGTCGCTCAATCAACCCTAACCAAAAGCAATAGTCCCCTCTCTATCTCTTTGTCTATTTCCCTAGATCCCCGAAAAAGGATCTAAGATATCTATATATATACTTCAGGTATAAATAAATGAAAAGAAAAATAGTAAGCATATGGTATTGGTATGGTATGGCATTCATCTGGATATTTAAGAGATTATCTGCTAGTGTTGTTATGGAGAGTGAGAAGTCAAACCTAGCCATGTCTTGCTGCAATCAGCTATTTGTAGCTTCAATATTGGAGTCGAAGCTCCCGATGAGAATGACCACCCGTTTTCCTGGTGATATGAAGCTCTTGATATGATTCTGTACCCAAATAACCAAGGAAAACAAACATCAATAAACACGAAACCTTTTGACCCTTGAAGTTACTTTGTCAGCTGTTATGTAATTCATCTAGACTTTCACTAGTTGATCCAAAAACCTTTGGAGGGAAGCTCTCCTTGCAATCGGTGGATCTGCAACAAGAAACAAAGCAAGTGTCAACAAGCATCTAAGTAATAGTGTAGTAACAACCAAAAACGAAGCATATAGACTTACAAAGATGTATCAGTGCACAAAACTTACCACAAGTGATCCTTTTAGG